TTGTCTTTTGACTTGCCTGTTCAGATTAATTTCCCTCATGCCCTCTGTTTGAACACCATGTGATTGGGTTGGATTTATCCACATTTTGTTGGATTGGATGCTATGGAAAGATTTCAGTGATTCGGCCTCTCAAAATGCGAACTGCCTAGCAGATATGCTTCTCCGAATAAGGTCACGCTGTTTTGGAGAGGAACATCACTGTTTCGGTTCATCGGAAAGCGTCTCCCTTTCTTCGATAATTCCATTTCAAAATAAAACTCTATTTTGAGGTATATCAAGTAGAGAAGGCAATATAATTACACAGACCATTATCTCGGCCTTTCAAGTAAGTAGTTTCTATGATGGACTAGTGGAGAAGTGGCTATGTCACCCTGTACCAGACACCTGTCAATTGTTCGAGTTGATAAATCCACCGAAATGTCACCAGGCTGAAACCTACCACCACGAATTTCAATTTGGGTGCACGATATCTGATCATACAAGAGATCAGTTGGTATAATCCTGAGAGAAGTTAGTCAACGGCCACAGTAAAAAGAAAAAAAAACACTTTGCAGGAATAACGACCAAAGGAAGATCTTTAGAGATAATTGAGAATAATGGTAGACAATGGAGCGAACTCGAATACTGAGACTTCGGAGAGCGTTCATTCAAACATAACGGTGACTAGTCCCAATATTGGAGCTGTACATTCCGTTAGTACCCTTGATTTCAAGTCCAGTCAAGGAGAGATAAATTTAATAAGATGGGTTTGTTAGTATTCTGTTTCTTGTAAGCCTTTAAGTGCTGTGAACTTGTAAACCGCACAATGTTTTCGCGAGATATACCACTATATCGACATACCTATTTGTTGGATGTAGGTATAAGTTTGAAGTCTTTGATCAAAAGATCAGGAAAAAATAACTGGAGATCTATAAAGCCAGCAGAGAAGTATATCAGAGAAGACAAAAGGTTTCATTAGGTGAATTACGTTGGGTAGCATTTTCAAACGGATAATAATAAAACGTCAGTTTCCTGACTTTGTAAAAATTCTCGACGATTTGAGGAGACCAAAAGGGATTTCGGGAAATGGTACCTCCAAGATATTTGACGGAACATGCTCTGGAAACTTCTTCACCATTGATAATGATATACTGGCAAGAGTTCATCACGTCAATGTATTTTTTACCCTTCAGCAAAGAAAATAAGACATCATTACACTAGGTAGGGTTCATTCCAAGACTATAATGTGAAGACCGGTCGGTGAGCAAATGAAATGTTATGCATCAGTTAAGGGTTCATGGAGGAGTTCGCAAACTTCATGCCATAACTGAGGTCTGTACATACGACGAATTTTCCCTATGGAAATTGAATCAAATCCTTTATTATTCACACATCGTGTGTATACATCGACATACGTACCGAACAAACAATCATCAAAAGCAGGCATGGAAAGTATAGATGAAGAACAGGAAGGTCGAGACAATGGCACCTAGAAGAACTCCTTGAGAGGAGGGTAAGAGTGAAGAGTTGTGACTCTTATGTATAGTATACTGTAACCAGTGGATAAAATGATGGCATAATAGATTGGTATGTTGCGACCAATTAGCCTTGCCAGAGAGAGAGTACTATCGACATAATTGAAGGTGTCACTATAGTCCTAGAAACACAGTAGAACAGCTGAGAAGACATTTTCTGTAATAAAATCTTCTCGAGAACTTTCAAACCAACAGACGTGTAAGTGGTGTGATAGAAACTATTCTCCATCAGTCCTGAATCCAATGCTGAGTAAACCACAGATTGAACAGGTCAGGAAAGGGACACTGCACATTCTTTGAGCAACGCAGGTGGCAATCAATCAGGACCGCCTGATTTATTACACTGCAAACTGATGGAAGTTTTGAATCCTTCTGTTTGGTCCGGTATGAATAACTGAATCAGTAGCATTATTGGGAAGAACAACTGTTGTGCATGGAACAGGGATATTGGTTTCAGCGATTGAGATTGCCAACGTTGGCAGCTGGCAGATTATTTTTCGCGCTGAGACCGCAGAACTGAAACAACATTTTCCGTGTATCACGACGTCAAACAAAATCTCCACTTGAACGGTTGCTCCAAACAGATCTGGCGTTTGTATTTCTTTTTTCTCATGTTTTTGTGAACCGGTTTTGCAACTGTACTGCTTCAGGTAGGTCTAAGACGTGCGGGCTATTCCGTTTCCTGCAGGGTTATCACGCACAAGTCCTATACCCTATATACATTGACCCAACTCTGTGGTTCCTCATAGTAGTTGCTCTTGTGAAAAGTTCTGTAACAACAGCCTACCAGACAACAAACACTCAACCACCACATGCAAACATCTTAAATATTTGTCCAATTCAGTAACCAAGTTATTCAAACTGAAACCGAAGTTTATCAGCTATTGTCGAATTCCCATATTCTGCAAAATACCCTGTACAGCTAACTTCGGCCAGGAAAGTTTTCTGACCCGTACGGTTTTTTCTCACCCATGCCAGTTTGTTGTAAACTTTCAATATTATGATCGTATTTGATAGACAATATATCCCAGTGAATAAGTAACGGAAAACCCATCCACTGGATTAAATAAAGATAATGGTCAGTTGAAATGTCTACACACTCGAACCTATCTTCTTACTTCGAGAGAGAAAACCTCCGAGCCAGTGGATAAAAAATCAATAATTATTGGACTCCATCAATCAGTCCAACTCAGATAAGCCAGATCACAAGCGAGCATTAAACATTCTCATTCACCTTCTATCTGCTATGCCCAATCGTAATGCAGATATAAATAAAGATATTCAGTCAGACTGTACTATCCATCTCACCTGTCGGATGCAAGAAACATCTGGATGAATTTTGACGGCTGGCAAATACATATATGCTTACAGGCATGTTTTGTTATTGGGTAAATCATGAACAAGCCACCTATGAATAGACTGCATCAGCTGACCTGTACCAAGACCGTAGTTTGCACTGCCACTCGACCGGGGTGGTAACTAGTATCACTGCTATCGAATTGAGAATCTTCTCTCATTTAGGCAGCATCGGTGGGGCCTTTGAATTTAGCCGTGCCTTTTTATCGTCGAATTTTATTTCGTAAAGTTACAGTGAAGGAACGCGTGGTCATCACTTTTGAATCAACTCGTTAAATTCTCTAGGTCAAATGTTGCCGCACAATGCCACAATTTTGAAATCCTTGCAGTTTATCGCGCAGAAACATTAGTTTCTGATTTTTACCTATTCTGTGAAAAATCGCTTCAAACGACTGCAAAAATCTGTTCGAGGACACCATTAAAACATTGTGCTGGCTGGCTTGTGACGCTAGGGCGACGTTCTATTGATAATTTGACCGTCCCGTCTATTATCTCATGTGACATTCGTTCGATCATGGGAAAACTCGATGATATCAAGAGCATGATACACCAGAAGGAATTCAAGAATGTAGGGGTAATTCTACTCCAGGAAAGCTAGCTACATCATGACATTGAGGATAACGTCGTGCATCTCGATGGATTTGACATATTCCGAGGCGATCGTGACGCGAACTTCCTTCACAGAGGTGGTGGAGTGGTCACTTTCGTCAACAGGAAATGGTGCAAAAACGCTCGTAATTGTTTTCAATTTAGTACCCCCAAGATAAATTGTATCTTTGTTTACTGTAAGCCCCGATTTCTCGGTCACTTTCATCACATTACATTAGCGAACATTTACATCGCTCCCGACACGGCTGCCTTTGATATTCGTCTGTGTGTCGACTCTTACTCCTCACTACTTTTAACCGGTTTAGACCAGTCTTTATGCATTACTGCTGGTGATTTTAATCGTTTTATTATCTCTTTCCTTGAGTGCTTGAGTGTTTGAGTCGTAGATCGGATGGCTCGGTGCAACGATCAGTGCATAGAAAGGTTACTTGGAAGGGCCGGTATATTCATTTCCACAGCTTTGTACCGCTCAAAGTGAAGAGGAATTTGGTGCGCTGTCTAGCAGATAGAGCAAGAAAGATTTGTAGTGAGGACACAATAGAAGAAGAGCTCCGGCTCTTACGTACTGTCTTCACACACAATGACTATCCAGAACGATTGGTTAGCAAGATGATTCAGTGCAGTAGAGACAATGTGAAGAAGACCGAGGTCAGAAAGAAGCCGGTATACATTGCCTTTCCGTTCCAGGGGGATACATCAACAGAAGTAATACAAAGGAGACCATCAGATGCTGTTAGTAATACCTTCTATGCAGCAAAGCTCAATGTTTTGTTCATTTCCCAGCCAATCGTGTGTTTACGACTAAAGGGCAAAATGCCGGATTCTGCTGTCTCATTCTGTGTGTACTCGTTTACGCGTTCCTGTGGAACCACGTACATAGGCCGAACGGTCAGGCGTTTGTCCGAACGAATCCGTGACCACCACCCCGCATGGGTAAACAGCGTAATATTTATTGTGATGTATTTGGCATGACTACGAATCACTGAAAACGAGCTTGTTCGCCACTCCTTGTTCTATTTGAAATGTGCTCTGTGGGGCTGTTTAGACAAGTTAGTTTAACAAGTTAAATCGAGCAATCGCTTCATGCTTACATAGAAAACGTTTCAGTGATGAGTATGGATACGGTTTGATTGAATAATTACAAAAGAAACAGACAAATTGAATTTAAAGTACTAATCTTGGATTAGCCCATTCGATTGTTCCACTGTCCAGTGCTCTTTGTCGGTCATCACTCACATTCCCATCGCATCTAAAGACAAAACTGAAGTCCCAAAATTTATCGGACTGAATCATTTTCAAGGGCGGAACCAGGAAACGGATAAACTTATTGCATCCACACTGAGTGTTGTTTCAAATATATCAAATCATGTAGATTATTTTTTCAACTACCATATAACGAAACACAGCAGAATTTGTCATTTCAACACGCATCGATTGCTCCCCCCTCCGCCTGTCCCCAGCTCTCCTCCGCTCAGTCATCAACCACACGGTCAACTGCATTTTGCACACCCCAGTAGATATCCGTCACTGATTACGTTAGTGTTAAGCCTGGAAAGAGGTGCCTATGAGTACACTGATGAATAGAATAAGACCAACCAGTTTAGATAGAGTAACACCAATTGTGGGATGCACAAAACCTGAGGCGTGTGTGTGTGTGTAGGGGGGGGGGGTTGGCACATTGTTCACATTCTATAATCTTTATCTTTGTTATACTTCTGGATAGCAAATATTTGGTGGTTGCGAGATGACCGCAGTGATGAAACGTCGCACAGATCATCACTACATCAGCCTGAAGTTCGTGGTTGAGTGAGTGGTAAGTTTGTCAAAATAACCATCAGGAGGTTCGAAGTTCGAACCCCGCCNCCCCGCCGCCGCCACCACCACCACCACCACCACCCATCTTTCTATTATGTATCTGAATTTTCCCAGGCAGCCTTTGTACGGTCCTTTTGTAAAAGCTGCCTTATTGGATACAAACAACAACAGTAGAGGAGGAAGGCAATGCTCGGCATTGTATAACTCTCTCTGACTTACCAGTCGCCCAGCTCGATTGTTGTGCAGATTCATGAGCATTCGAGCCAGTTCAGCCGAATGCCTCGGATAACTTTGCTCCTTCTCGCGTACATCGATGAATGCTTTGGCAAATCGGTAGGCATAAGCAATATTGTCTCCACAGCCACCCCAAATCCAATCCCGATGCAATTGATCCGGTCGATCCGCTTTGCTACATCCGCACGAATACAATCGGGCTTGTTTACAACTTCGAGCCAGGGCGTGGACAACACCTGCGGCGGAAATCGCGTGTGCGAATCCGGCTTCGCGACTTCCTGAACGAGTGAGAGAAGGAACAAAATGAACTAACGACTAACGATTATCACGCAATAATTTTTGTGGTTCATGGCTACCATGAAGACGCGAATAAAACAACAACAACAACAACAACAACAACAACAACAACAACAACAACAATAACAACCATGTGAATCTGTCATCTGTCACCAAAACTTGATAGTTAATCAACGCAAACGGACGTAGCTGTCATGCAAATGGGACAAATATCAAACAGCGCTTTAATTGAATGTACCAAAGGCACGTAAGACCGGAAGTCGTCGACATCCTTAGTCGTGGGGAGATGGTTTGTTTTCGCTAGGTTTGAGAACTGTTCAGAAATTGGATCTGTCACTTATCAGGAATCATGAACAGAGTGTTTTCACTGAAATCTGGCCACAAGGGTGTAGGGGAGGGTATGCGACTCAGACACACCGGTTCTCAGTGTTTCTATGATTTTGAGATGGCAGTTGACATGTTGAATGACGAGAGCATATGCAAGATACAAAATAAAACTCCAGAACTGAAGCCTTTTGCTCTGTTCCGCTTTAAGCTCAACAGAACGATTGCAATATACACTGGAATTAGGATTGTTTCTAGAGAATACCTCTCTCACACATTAAATGTGCGTTGGGGTCGAAGGAGTGTTTGAACGAGTCGTGAAAAGATTAGCGCTCTCGGTTTAGCCTCGTAGCTCCGGTAGTATTGCATACGTCCTACGACCATCGTATGAGGTGTGGGTTGGAATCTCATTGAGGCTTGTGATCTCACAATTCAAACGCATGTAATTGTCACCTCATTACCTTTCAAACAAACATACGCTAAACAGTGACATTAAGGAGTTTTATTTGTTTGTGCATAGCTCCACAACTCTCAGTGTATTTATTAATCCAGAACCGAATGACATGTTGGTGTTGGTGGTGGTAGTGTTAGTATGGAAGCCAGACCCTTTGAAGATGCATCACACTAATCAAAATTCCATAAATTAACCACATTTTGTGATCACCAATTCTCTTGGGGCTTCCGATACCTTCCTTCACTTTGCTTTCATGTATCATGAATAGATCTGCGTGCAGTAAGTTGTTCTTAGATCACAACGCTTTTCCTGGATACAGAATTTGATTTAATGAGTTATTGGCTACTTGTTACAATTGAAAGATGAGGATCTAAAGTTATTTTAATCAGGGTTTCATGGTGGGCTAGATCCATTGCTATCTTACGATGCAAATACTTAATAAAAGTGTATACGAGAGAGAGAGATGTGGCATTGTTTTGGTCGGGATAGTCACAACCGATGGAACATAAACGACACGTTGAATTAGTACCGTTTTCGGAGCTGAGTTTTAATGTCACGCGTTGAATTGCCGTTCTCATCAAATTATGCAAATTATATAGAAAACAAAATCAATAAATAATTAACGGACTGAGGTAGGTATAGTCTATTCAGTTTTATTATTAATATATACATTGTTTCTCGAATAGGTAGAGAGTTAAATAGAGAAAACTATGGTGAGAGTTGGCTTAGGTCGGAAAACAATTTGATGATCTACCACAAAGTGATTCCGAATATACTATTTTTTTAAGCATTTCTTATCCATTTGTCCACTGAACCAATTTATAACCAAGTCCGCCCCCACTTTCCCAAATGAGTATTCTATCATTTTCTAGGGATTTTTGTTATCCAACCAAAAAGATATGATCGATTGGAGTGGAAAACGAAGTTGAAAAGCTCAACAGACCGGCGGAAAAAACCATTCAAATCGCCTATGGACCCAGTTTGACCAGGTGTTTACTGCAACCTCACACAAAGCATTACAGATTCCAAGCATACTACCCTGTATACCGTATCCGTATTTCAGCGATGAAATTGTAAGAGCAAAACTACTAAATTTGTGTAAGAATTCATCCCTAGGAGTAGACACCATGTATCCTTGGACCCCCGTCTGACCAGACAACAATATGTTCGAACCGCTGGTTGTTGTTTGACAAATGATATTCAAAAAAGCGGCGTTTGCTCAGTCACGGAAGAAAAGGGTGATTTCAACAATTTACGAAGAGACCTTTCGCAATGATCCCACCAACTACTGTCGAAAATCTTGGAGAATTTTGTGACAGATCAGTTGATGAAGTCTCCTGGAGAAGCATGAAATTTTGTCTCCAGCTCATCACCGATCTCGGTACAAACGATTGTGCACCACAAGTCTACTTCTCGAAAGAGATGAGTGGAAAATTCCGTCAATGCGGGCGAGCCATTGGACATGTTTTATTTGGACTTCTCCAAAGCATTTGATTGAGTAAGCCACATAATTCTTCTACAAAAATTCTACAGTTACAGAGAGGGAGAAGTTTGATTCTCAACTGGATCAAAGAGTTTCTCCGACAATGACCCATTTCATTTGGTGTTTGTGATTCATTATCTGGACCTATCGTCGCTATGAGCAAGGATCCGTGCTGGGCCTTGTCTTTTGCTTACATTTATGAACGATCTACAACATTTCCTCGGGCCCAATACACTGCTAATCGTGGATGACTCTAAGATGTGGGAAACAGTCACACATTCAGTAGATTATTTGACACTCCAAGAAATGATCAATGCAGCCCACCGACAGGTATTCGCCAATGACATTGAATTCAACGGTTCAAAGTGAAAAATCGTTTCCATGCGGCACACGAGTCATTTCTCCTATGTTCTGGGGAACCAAATACTGCTGCATACCACCGATGAAAGGGACCTGGGAGCTATGGAGCAGGATACAATAAGATGTTCCACGAGCAGTGCTAGATGGAACATTATCAACGGCTCTAAGCAACTGGAACCACTAAAACATGCTTTCGAATAACTCGAAGTAGCATTGTTCCCCGTTTGCTATCAAAGCTCCTTCGAACACACACGGAATACACCGTTAAAGTATGCGATCAATAGTTGAACCGCGAGCAGAACGCTCTAGACGGTCAGCCCAGGTTGGCAACAAAAATGGTAAGAGGTTTGTATAACAAGACATACTCCGAAAGCTTGTTAAAACTGGGGTCTCGCTCATGTCATACTGTCGACTTTGGGGTCAACTAATCGTGACATATCATATACTTAAGTCAAGTCAAGCCACAAATCGCTTTTTACATCCTAATGGATGGATTTTAAGCTCCTTGCACACCAGGGTCATTGATTATTGCATACAGTCACAAAGAAAAAGGTAAATACAGTGTCTTAAATTAAAGTGGAAAGTGGTGTTAACACGTGAAAACTGATATCCTTTACCTAGGAATTTGAAAACGTTGTCTCTAACGGATGCTTTCTATTCCAGAAATCTCGAAAGATATGGGATAACAGACAAACGGTAGGTACAAGTGGTACAAGCATACACATGTTTATAACGATACCTGGTTATAGAAGTGGATACACATTGTTTAAGTTCTGTGTGTAATGGATGAGTGAAGTTTGATAGAATATTGTGTGAATAAGGAATACCGCTTGTACGAGAAGATCATCTGGGTCAGTGGGTAGGTTTTAAATATAGAAAGAGAAAAGACAAAGGGACAGTATTGCTCCACGGAGCGCGCCTGAATTGACCGGCATTCAGTCAGAATTTTATCCAAGAAACTTCGTGCAGTGTGTTATACCAGTAAAATAATCCTGGAGTAGAGACGGGCTAGTATTGGACAATGCAGCACATCCTCGAAATGCTGTACTATGCATGTCTAGAGACTGCAATCTGAGTTTACGAAGTACCCAAAGGAGTCTAAGGAAGAACGTTGCTTGCGACTGTGATCTAACTGTGCAGTGTTAGGAATAGTGTTACCAAGCATAAACCTTCAGAAATCTTTGGTAGAACGAAACGTCAGGCGATTGGTCTAAAAATCCCGATTTCTTTTTTTTGGGGACTAGTGTGATGCGCGCGAGTCACCAATAGTCAGCAATTTTTTGTTCTTCGAAGCAATGGTTGAAGTTACCGGCAAGTGGCTCCGCCAGATAATGCGCACATTCCCTGAAGATGACTGGATATAGTCTGTTGGAACCGGAAGATTTTGATGTTTTGAGGCACATCAGCTGTGCCTGCAACTGATTAGAATTAATATGTAAAACTTCAAGACGGTCAACTAACTGATTGGAAACATGATCCCAATACTTCCGTTTGAGTTGACGTGGAAAATATACTCAGTTGAGTTCAGTGGCTGTGGATTGAGGCCTGCGTAGTCTGACTTTTGTTCCACAGACTTCTTCCATAGCACTCCATATTTGTTTGCAATTCCGACCACCAAATAGGGTTTCAGTGTACAGTCTGTCAAGATCTTGGATCTCAGTCTTGATCAGCACTGACGTTTGTTTAGCTGAAGCTCATTTACGATTTTTATATGCCCGTTCTGAGGGTCTTGAAAGTGGGAGAAGAAAATCTGACGGGACTGATATACATAGGAGCCATTTGGCAGCAGAGGTCACTGCAGAAGTTCAAATTCCATTTCAAGCGGAGAATATTGAAACGCGATGACTCTGAATTTTTCAGTGTGTCGAAAAAAACAGGGTGAATTCGTTGTGTATAGAGCAAATGAAGCGTGAACTGAAAAGCTTTGAAGCATTGGACATCTGTTTCGGCCTGGTTAGGTCTCATCAGTAATGCGCATCCATCGACCCAGCTGGGGATCGAACACGAGACCTCGCAAAAAGAACGCAAGCATGTTACACACCCGGCCACCGGGCAGCTGATCAGACCGTTTTTCATTTTCCATTTAGGCAATATATCCCGACCCACCTTTGCGAGCTTTTTGCAGGCCACAGACCTCGGTCATCTCACCACTAGCCTCCGGAGTCATGCAACTCAGGTATGAAAATTCTTGAAGAGACTTGCAGCTCTACCCTCATTCACTCTGCCAAGTACGTAAGCAGTCAGGCAAATGCTTCTCGATCCCGAACGCTTGAAGCCTTTGTGTGAATTGTTTGCGTATGTACTTCAACGGGTTGTATATATCGCATCCAAACCGAAAGAAGAACTACTGGTGGCGAGATATTCACATTTCGTTCAATTTCTCCTAATCATTGACTTAAACCAAGCAAGGACATTGATGGTACACTGAATTTATAAATCCTAGTCGACGAAAATGTACAGAAAAACGAGGGCTATTGGAATTAAAAATATAATTCAACTCCACATCAATTGAACTGGTTGGGTCAACAACTTTTGGGAGCAGAAACGTGATGATTTAATCTAATTAGCAATCTTTCACTTATTGCCAACAGTTTTGTATTGCAGTTAACTAACCACGGCTTGAAAAAGGAATCGGGATCAATTAGGTGTTTGATTGTCATTAGGTGTTTTTGTAATTGATGACTCCGGTTTCCGTGTGACCGCCTGACTACTGACTGTAGGCTGCTGCGTCATTGACTTCACTAACCACTTTGGTATGTGTTCGGTCATTCGCTGTGATAACTGACGGTTGGTTCTGCCTATGTATGCGTCACTGTAACCGAAGGTGAACTGGTATACAGTATGTGAAGGCAGAAGTGGATTGCCAACTATGAAAACGTTTGTTTAAATCCATCCTACGAGTCGAGGCAATAAGTCGAAGTTGAACAGCTGTGTATGTGCAGTTCACAGCTGGCTTTAAATTTTGGAGTACACCGTTCAGAAGGTGATCGCCCATAAAAGATAGTTTGATGTAGACTGCTTTTTGCGGAACAATTGAGGATGGGTTATTACAACGAAGGTAGTAAGCATTCATCTTCACACATACACAATCCCTGTGTGGTGAAAAACAATTTGTGCAAACACTCAAGCTCTCTTGGCCGGATCACGGACAAGTGACTCGTCATAATGGCATGGTTTAGATACATTGAAAATGAGCTTGTTTGCCAATTCGTGTTCCCATTATGTTTGTTCGTTCGTTCGTTCGTTTATTTTGACAAACACACCCCGTGCAATGCAATATGGCTATTTGTTTGGCGACGACCGACACGTGCGATAAAACACATGCATTGGTCTTCTGAGACTGGGCGCGATGCTGTCTAAGATAAGCTTATGGATTTCATATCGGGTATCATCCAATAGACTAGGGAAAGGAGCTCTCAATAAAAACTAAGATACATCGAAGCTCTATAGAGCTCTATCTATTTCGTGTTGTATGTTACAGTACATTTGAAAATAATAAATTACAGAAAACATACAACCATCATATTATTAGCACTATGCAATTCCTCTATTGATTTGCTTACCGGATTAAGATGAGAATAAAAATTTTCTATATCGATTGTGAAAAGTTTAGTAGCCCCTGTGGGATTCGAACCAATGCATGGACGCCGCCTATGCCTTGTACGTACATGCCCTACCAGCTGAGCCACGAGGCCACACCGATAGCACTGATATTTTCACATTCGAATTTACTCATTCAACTTACAGAATCCATTCGGAGCTCATTCGGTGGACTCCGGTGAAATCTGAGGAAAACCTGTCGGGGTAGTCAGCTTACATGCTAACTGGTGGATGCCACATGCCTCTGTAAGTTAGATGAGTAAATTCGAATGTGAAAATATCAGTGCTATCGGTGTGGCCTCGTAGCTCAGCTGGTAGAGCATGCACGTTCAAAGTGTAGGTGGCGTCCATGCGTGAGTTCGAATCCCACAGGGGCTATAAACTTTTCACAATCATCATACTAACAACAACAATTTGAACAATAACAATTTGAACGGCAAAACTCCATGTTAAAAGTATTTCTGCACCTAAGGTTAAGCTCATGCGAATGGCAGATACCTTTTCGGCCGACGGATTTTACCACGTTCACATATCGGAGTGGAATGTGGTAATGAAAATCATTCAACATCGAAATACCCACTTTCCGATTCGATGCAGCTTGAGAATGAATGACCGAACCTGTGTTCGGTCGAAATTCCATTTTAATTCCATTTTTCGACGATCAGTAGTCAATATTCCACACTCCACATATCCGCTAATCTTGCGTTCCTACTCAGTGAGATGCTGGAAGGGTTGGTCAGTCGTTATTAATCACATTCACAGTATTTGATAAGACCCGTGTGTGTGTGTCTACTTGTGTATCACAGATTAACAATTTTATTACCACTCGATTTAAATTTCCAATGAAACAAACGGCGATCGAAAATGATTCCAAAATGAGGTGGATGGAAGCATTTGTGGAAGTTGCCCAGGTCACTCTAACCAGACCATTCAGTAGTGGTCAGATTTTAGTATTACTGTACTTGTCTGTGTGTTCAGTGCGTGGTTTGAGAACAGTCTGATTCACCGAGAACGCCGCATGACTCGGTGTGCGCGCGCACTCGGTTGCGCGAGGGGTCAAACTCGATTGAATCGGCTCGTGCGGTAATGCTACACACACGCACAACGGGATTTTCAATGACTAATCCTTAACCGGCAAAACAAACCCTATTTTTCTCACCCCGTTCTCGGAAGATGAGTAATTACCTATTCTGAAAAGTTTGTGTGGTAGTGGGGTGCGTGGAAGATAGAGAACAAATGTGAACAGACAAGCTGACCAATTTATCTACGATTTACGCGAATTTTCACCGTTTGATTTCGGCACGCGCGCTTCAGTCTACGAGGGTTCTTTAATCGGTCTTCTTAGTTCGAGGCTCCCGGGATAGTAGGGCATGCATACANCACAGCACAGTTTACGGTTTCTAACGAGAGATTGGTGCACTCAAAGTGCATAATTATCCCATTTTAAGCCCAGACCTGTTGTGTGTGTGTGTGTGTGCGCAACTGATGCAGAATGAGCCCCAACAGGCAAGTCACGAGTAGCAGCGGAAGATGAGCTAATTCCAGTGAAACATATCACGTACGGTTGATTATATTTTAGACAAGCCGACTATACACAAACATGATGCTTTATAAAGTTTAGGACGTTATACGACATATAATTACAAACGGGCTGAGGTGGGAGGTGGGTGTTAGTGACAACCTCGTTCAACTTCCTAATTATCCCTTACAAATGACCGAACTCCTAGCCAACGTGTTTTATGCTAGGTTGTGGATTGAGAAGTTCGGTGTAACTTGGGGGTGGGGGGGGCTGGGGAATGAGGGTACGTTATTTAGCATACGGGAAATTTCCAATACATTTAATCGTAGGAACAGATCGAAACTACATGATGCCAGATTTTGAATGAATGAACAAATGAATGAAGCGACTAAGGGTCATTTCCGGAACCATACGAGCTAGACAATGCTGGTAACTTCACCTAGCATCGAGAACTATTAAATAAAGTAGAAGCAATTGTTTGTATTTGAAAAACTCAGGTAGTCTGTGTACTTCTCTTTTGATACGAATATACAGGTATTGATCAAACTCGTAAAACACCCCGGGCTGTTATCAGATTGTTTTCCTCCCAACGCTCAGTGTTTCAAGCCTCATTCACGGGGGCTTGAATATGGTACCGCCCCACACCTGACACAACATATCTTTACTAATATCTGCTTATGTTTTTGCTTCTATTAGTCAAATACCATTAAAGTGTACGACATCTCCATTTCGACGACGGTTGCTGATGCATACGTTGTAAAATAACACGGCCTCTTTAATAATACATTAGAATTTATTTACAAAGTGACTTATAGGCATGATACAGGTGTATTGTACTTTTATTTTGTCAATGCTATATTTACCCTTCTTTATTTTTAACCATTAAATGTAGTGGTTTTTGCATGAAGTCCACCAAGTTTTACTGTCCAACAGCGTTTGCTAGTTTCCCCAAGAAAATTTACATTATTCAATTAATTTATTGCGCATCGAATGAAAAAAGATCAGCTTTTTAGAATACGTTTATCGACCAGAATAAAAAACAATCATTTATTAGAAAGAATGAACTTCCATTTTGCTTTGCATAAAGTATTTTCGAAATCTGAGCTGTAACGTTCGAGCTACTAAAAATTTTGTTTTGATGCTCAAGGTCACGCTAATTCAAACGATGATACACGGGAATTAAACGTATTGCCTTGAGAGATGACAGTTAGGCTAAATACTCTTCACCCATATAGCTCTCGATATACACGTATGATATGGGCAACTGAAATATACTTCGAAAATGAGAGTCAAGTTGCACGATCAATACATCTCCATATATATTTATTATATCATAATATGCTCTGTTGTGACCTCAAAAAGAGCTTGGAAAAATCGTCAATCCAACAAAAAACACTGGATCAGCAATTAACGTATATGATTACGAGAATTCACAGACAACAAAGCCGATCTATTGTTGTTCTGGTGCAGGGTTCGAGTCCGTTCAGTTCTCACACGAATTTATTTATACCCTTAAGGAACACATAGAATAAGTACGCATTGTTGATGAGCCGAGTGGCAGTACCTATTTTATTTTTTGGCCAACATACGGAAAATATTGATCGAGACTAAACTGTATTGGACCAATGTGGAGTGAAAGAACTCACTGAGGGTGACACACTCACACGCGCTCCTGAACAGACCAAAGAAAACCACATACAAATGACCTGGTAGCTCCCTGTCCCAAATCGCAACTATTATTTTACCCAAACGGGCTAAATGAACAGATATTTTCACTCTTTTATCTTTACATGCCAATCTGAATTCCAATTTGTTATATGGACTGTTCGTGCACGATCGGTAGAGCAATTCACGAGCAAATGGTAGTCCCCACAACTACACAACTGATCCACATACAGAGTACAAACAAGACAGTTGTGGCTGGTCCGTTTCATTTCTACTGGAGCGTGTTAAATCGATTTCGGCGAAAACCTTATAGAAGAAAAAAATAGGTGCACACACACGGTAATTCACTCACAGTTGAGTCGCATGCTCAAGAACAAATGACT